AACGAGCAGCGAACAGCCTGCGTCCTCTAGCCTCTACAGCGCTGCTTAACACCAGGGCTTCGACTTCAAAATTCGAATATCATTCTAAAATAAAAATGATATGAACAAAATAATTGAATAAAAAAATGTGAACAAATATTAGACAACCCTTGTAATTCGAAATGTATTTAATGACTGCAAATGAAATAGTTAGCTCCCAAAGGTTGTATATTGTTATATATTAGGCTGTATGTTATGTTATGTATTATATATCATATATATAATATACAGTGCCTTGCGAAAGTATTCGGCCCCCTTGAACCTTTCAACATTTCGCCACATTTCAGGCTTCAAACAAAGATATAAAAATTAAATTTTTTGTCAAGAATCAACGGCAAGTGGGACACAATCGTGAAGTGGAACGAAATGTATTGGATAATTTAAACTTTTTTAACAAATAAAAAACTGAAAATTGGGGCGTGCAATATTATTCGGCCCCCTTGCACTAATACTTTGTAGCGCCACCTTTTGCTGCAATTACAGCTGCAAGTCGCTTGGGGTATGTCTCTATCAGTTTTGCACATCGAGAGACTGGAATTCTTGCCCATTCTTCCTTGCAAAACAGCTCAAGCTCAGTGAGGTTGGATGGAGAGCGTTTGTGAACAGCAGTCTTCAGCTCTTTCCACAGATTCTCAATTGGATTCAGGTCTGGACTTTGACTTGGCCATTCTAACACCTGGATACGTCTCTTTGTGAACCATTCCATTGTAGATTTGGCTTTATGTTTTGGATCATTGTCCTGTTGGAAGATAAATCTCCGTCCCAGTCTCGGGTCTTTTGCAGACTCCAACAGGTTTTCTTCCAGAATGGTCCTGTATTTGGCTCCATCCATCTTCCCATCAATTTTAGCCATCTTCCTGTCCCTGCTGAAGAAAAGCAGGCCCAAACCATGATGCTGCCACCACCATGTTTGACAGTGGGGATGGTGTGTTCAGGGTGATGAGCTGTGTTGCTTTTACGCCAAACATATCGTTTTGCATTGTGGCCACAAAGTTCGATTTTGATTTCATCTGACCAGAGCACCTTCTTCTACATGTTTGGTGTGTCTCCCAGGTGGCTTGTGGCAAACTTTAAACGAGACTTTTTATGGATATCTTTGAGAAATGGCTTTCTTCTTGCCACTCTTCCATAAAGGCCAGATGTGTGCAGTGAAAGTTTGGAGGGACGGCCGGGTAGATTTGCAGTGGTCTGATACTCCTTCCATTTCAATATAATTGCTTGCACAGTAGGGGCGACAGTAGCTCAGTTGGTAGAGCATTGGCCTTAAGCCCAGAAGGTTGTGGGTTCAATTCCCACCTCTGCACCTTCTCCACCGACTCCCACTGATGACTGCTGTCGTTGTGTCCTTGGGCAAGACACTTAACCCCACTTTGCCCAAAGCCCCCACTGAAAGATCAAGGCTATGCTCACACTCAGAGAGCAGCCGTCCTCCTGTGGACTCACCACCTGCAGAGGGTCAGTGAGGGGCTGGTGCTATGAGACTTGGGTGGCATCTCTGACTGTCACCCCCCTGACCCAGAAATGGATTAAAGGGTAGAAAATGGATGGATGGATGGATGCTTGCACAGTGCTCCTTGAGATGTTTAAAGCTTGGGAAATCCTTTTGTATCCAAATCCGGCTTTAAACTTCTCCACAACAGTATCTCGGACCTGCCTGGTGTGTTCCTTTGTCTTCATGGTTCTATCTGCACTTTAAAAAGAACCCTGAGACTATCAAAGAGCAGGTGCATTTATACGGATACTTGAATACACACAGGTGCATTCTATTTATCATCATCAGTCATTTAGGACAACATTGGATCATTCAAAGATCCTCACTGAACTTCTGGAGTGAGTTTGCTGCACTGAAAGTAAAGGGGCCAAATAATATTGCACACCCCACTTTTCAGTTTTTTATTTGTTAAAAAAGTTTGAATTATCAAATAAATTTCGTTCCACTTCACGATTGTGTCCCACTTGTTGTTGATTCATGACAAAAAAATAAAATTTTATATCTTTATGTTTGAAGCCTGAAATGTGGCGAAATGTTGAAAGGTTCAAGGGGGGGACTGTATATGATATATAATATATAATATATAATTAGGTTTGCCTGGATCGGTTTGCACACTTGGTGTGCAATCCATGAATCTTGGTGCTGTAGCCTAGGCTAGCCTAGCCGTGGCTGCTGTTGTCTCACCTCCTTCCAGATACGCTCTCTTCATTCAAGGCTAGGTTTAAAACAGTTCTCTTTAGTTTAGCATATGGCTAGGAAGGTAAAGCCTAGTGTATACTTGCGCGGCGTGGCTTACGTTAGCGGTTGCGGTGGACCTACGTAAGCACAATGAATACTGGCGCGTTCCCCTTACGGAGTTTTGAGGAGAATGTTGTAATCCCACAAAGAAACAACATGAGGGCGATCACACAGGAGCGGTCCCATTTACGCTGCTACTTTGTCCTCTTCAGAACAACAATAGCAAACAAAGCTGTTTGAGATCATTACATGTGTTTCTACTGTAGGTTTATGTGATAGTTTTATGGATTCATTATTTTATAAGTCATTTCAACTGTGATGCTGTGAATAAAGACACAGTTCTTGTTGGAAACATAGTTATTATTAAATAGTTTTCAGCACAAACAGCAAAACAATAATAGTGGTAAATATCTGAGACAAACATGAACGATTTACGAGTGCAGGAGGAAAGCAACAAAAACGCAGCTACGATTCAAACAAAGACAGGAACAGTGCAAAACAAACGACTGCACAGTTTATAAGTTATATATATGTTATATATATGTTAGATAGTCCACAGTCTCCTGTATATCAGGCTCTGAGCCCAAACTGCTTTTCCTTCGAAGCACAAAGCTCTCTGCTCCATAGTGCCTCGTCCATTGTCCCTGCTGCAGCCGCTTCATGCTTCTTTCCAATACACACCCACGGACCAATCACAGCGGAGCTTCCTTGCGGCGACCCTTACGTAGTTAGAAAATTTCGATGCTGCGCGGCAGGCAACGTAAGGGCCTTGCGGTGACCAACGCGTTGCGCAAGTGACGTCACGTCACCTCCGTAAGCTCCGCACCGCGCGAGTATAAACTAGGCTTTAGACTCGGGGAAGGCTAAACTCCTCAGACTGTCAGTCAAGCTGCATAGGGAGTCAGTTTGCTGGGAGAAGTATGGTAACTTGAGCACTATCCTCTCCTCCTTCCTACTTTTCCTGTTTAGCATTATTAGGATTTTGACTGTAGTTTGTTCATTGCTATTCACCCGTTGTCCCATTGTCTGTTTTATGGTACGATGACGGGACCTCTGAGCCTGGCCTCCTCCATCTACACCTGCGGACTGCCCTGCCCGACCCGCCTGGGAGTGCTTCAGTCCTGCACCGGACCTTGTCCACGTTCAGCGGCCACTGGTCCATGTCCTGTAGCTAGCTTAGGTCCTAGATCATAAGCCTCTCAGTCCGGAGGAGCGGATCCCTTTCTCAAATGGGTCTCCCTCCCTGTGGGTTTCCCTAGTTCTCCCCAAGGTTTCTCACTTTTTCCCACTGGGTTTTTTAACAGTTTTTCCTTGTTGATGCAGGAGGGTCTTGTTGGACAGTTAGTTACATAATCCTATGTTTACTGCCTTTAATATGAATAAGTTTAGTATTTTCACTATTTATTGTCTGCATCAAATATATTTACAACAGTCATGGTGTGTGTGTGTGTGTGTGTGAGTGTGTGTGTGTGTGTGAGTTTGTTTTGTGTGATTATTGTTTATTGTTGCTTTTTGTCCTTTGTCTTTATTGTTTACTTTATTGTATTGCATTGTATCTGTCACCTCTGTTACCTTTTTGAGGACCCCCTCGAAAACGAGATGTTTCATCTCTAGGGGCTTATCCTCCAAATAAATAAATAAATAAATAAATAAATAGTGTCCAACAGAAAGGATTGGTGATGATCCAGGACACTTTAACATTCTACAACATGTATGGACATTTTCTTCTGTGTGTGCTGTATATTTTTCATCTGTTTTAACTGTTGATTCTCTGACTTGTGTTGGTGATTTCAATGGTTTTGTTAAGTCCTCCGAGATTACTTCTGTTGTGACTTAGGGCTATACAAGAATAAATTGTATTGTATTGTAGAGGGCAGACTGGAGGAGTGTCAGGGAAGAGAGCGTTTTGGGGCGGGGCTTCTCTGGTGCCAACACAACTCGGAGAGGAGGGACACAGCGGCCAAGATAGAAGGTAAAAAAAACTCTTGAAATCTCAAAACGTGCCGCACCAGAAGCGCGAAACGCTCAAAGACGCGCCGCTCGGGAGGAGCGTGACGCGCCGCGGGATCTCTCGCCGCGTCCCCCATGTATTCTCAATGTAAACCCGACGCTTTGGACGCTTTGTGACTCTGTCCGTTAACCCTCTATGCACATGGGTCATTTTGGGGAACTTTCCTCGCCTGGTTTTCTTTGTGTATAATTGTTCATAAAACAGTCATCTTTTGATGCAGAGTCAAGCAGTATACTTTGTTTTTTTCAGTACATCCTGGGGTTTTAGAATATTCATATTGTAAATCTGTCATATGAATTATATAAAAATTATGGAATCATGAAGACAAAGAAAAAAATCAAGCGGAAAATCAATTTAACAAAAATGTATTGAAAAAACACAATGAAATGCTATAAACAACTTTTTACACTGGATAGAAATGTTATTTATGGTCTTGGGGATAATGGGGAAAAAAATTGAATCTCTAACTATTATACTTTTTACAAAATTCCACTATAAAAGCAAAAAACTCTGTACTCCTGATGCCCTTCCTGAAGCAGTTTGTTTATAATGCTGGGGTTGCTTCTGTAGTACAGCTGTAAAAAACGTAAAACATAAGAAACTGAGCCAAAAAAAAAAAAAACATCAATTATTTATATAATACATATATTTATATACATCATATACACATAATGTCATTTTACTGTATTTATTATCGTCTTTATCAATAATGCGCACTCT